GCAATCCCAGATACTCAGGAGGCTGAGGCAGGAGAATCACTTGAAACCAGGAGATGGAGGTTCTAATGAGCCAAGATCGAGCCATTGTACTCCAGTCTGGACAACAAGAGTAAAACTTCATCATACACACACACACACACAAAATTAGCTGGGCATGGTGGTGTGTGCCTGTAATCCCAGCTACTTAGGAGGCTGAGGCAGGAGAATTGCCTGAACCCAGGGGTTGCGGTGAGCCGAGATCGCGCCATTGCACCCCAGCCTGGGTAACATGAGGAAAACTCCGTCTCAAAAAAAAAAAAAAAAGCCACTTCAGTTTATGGGGGTGAGGGAGTAAAGACTCTGCTGCCGCCTTTAGGACAAATTCTGGCAAATTGGAGAATCGCTAGCTCAAGTTTTTTCTATTCAGTCAGACATCCTCTTTTTTTTCTTTTTTAGGAAGGTAATTGTTTTCAAGTTACCTGTTCATAGGTCAAGGACTTTTATCCATTCTATGTTCTTATACATGCTGTCCCAGGATGGTGAGCTCAATATTAAAGTTAGAGGCTGTTCATTTCCTTTGTTCTTTATCTTAAAAGTCTGTTAACTTACTAATTTTTGTTTACATAGTAATAGACTATGTTGATCTTATTCCACTCCACTGTAACAACATTTATTTTAAATAAACTTATCAGAGCCTTTTCTTACCTCTGAATTTATATTAGAACAGCAGCCACTACTCAGCTCATCGTGGCCTGGGCTAATCAAGATCTAACTTGGGAGCGAGTGTCCACGGAGTGCTTGCTGTAGGTGTGCACTGCCAAGCAGCAAATGCCCAAATCTGGGACACCTTCGGGGAGCTCAACCACCAAGCAACTTCATTCAAGAATTCTACAGCCAGGCCGGGTGCGGTGGCTCACACCTGTAATTCCAGCACTTTGGAAGGCTGAGGCAGGCAGATCAGCTGAGGTCAGGAGTTTGAGACCATCCCAGGCAATATGGCAAAACCCTGTCTCTACTAAAAATACAAAACTTAGCTGGGCTTGGTGGCTCGTGCCTGTAATCCCAGCTTACTTGAGTGATGGAGGTGGGAGAATTGCTTGAACTTGGGAGATGGGGGTTGTACTGAGCCAGGATCGAGCCACTGCACTCCAGCCTGGGTGACAGGGTGACACTGTCTCAAAAAAA